AAAAAAAAAAAATGTCTTGCTCATTTTTTCACAAATCCAGACTAATACACTAAATTTTATTCTCCTGAGTTGGATAAGTTGTAGAAAATGTGTTTGCTTCTTAAAAGCCTAGGCGAAGTGGGCTTGAGATCACATAATTCATATTTTGCTTTCATATAAAACTTCACCAAAATTTCTAGCATTCATTCATGGACTAACTAAGCAGTTACAAGAAGGTATAGATGTTCATGAATAATTTTTAGATAAGCACAAATTATTTTTTGTTGTTGCTTTGTAACATTTGTAAAGATTGATTTCTGGGATAATTGGAGGTTTTTAAATCTTCTGGTGGTAGTATTTATGTTTGAGTAGCCTCTTGCTTGTGGACTACCCAGAACTGCCAATGTTGCCGCAAGTACAGTCTATTCAACTTAGTGTTTTTCTATTTAATAAACCACCTAAAGTGAACATATGTTTTGCTTCATTCTAGGCATGCCAGGCTGCCATGAAAACAAAAGCAGATGACCGAGGAGCAGAAGAAAACACTTCGGAGCAGACTATCCTCAATATGATCTCCCAGAGCTCTTCAGACACAACTATTGCGGGTTTAATGAGCATGTCAACTTCTACTACAAGTGTAGTGCCTTCTCTTCCAGTCTCTGAAGAGTCATCTAGCAACTTGAGCAGTGTGGAGATGTTGCAAGGCGAGCGTTGGCTTTCCTCCCAGCCTCCTTTTAAACTAGAACCTGCTCAGGGTCATCGGACTAGTGAGAATTTAGCACTTATGGGAGTTGATCATTCCTTGCAGCAAGATGGTTCAAATGCATTTATTTCCCAGAAGCAGAATACTAAGAGCGTGCCATCAGCTAAAGTGTCACTGAAAGAATACCGTGCAAAGCATGCAGAAGAGCTGGCTGCTCAGAAGAGGCAATTGGAGAACATGGAGGCCAATGTGAAGTCACAGTATGCGTATGCTGCTCAGAATCTCCTGTCTCACCATGATAGCCATTCTTCAGTCATTCTGAAAATGCCCATAGAGGGTTCAGACAACCCTGAACGGCTTTTTCTGGAAAAGGCCGACAAAACAGCTCTCAAAATGAGAATCCCAATGGCAGGTGGAGATAAAGCTGCCTCTTCAAAACCAGAGGAGATAAAAATGCGCATCAAAGTTCATGCTGCAGCTGACAAGCACAATTCTTTAGAGGACAGTATTACAAAGAGCCGAGAATACAAAGAAAAGCACAAGACTCACCCTTCTAATCATCATCACCATCATAATCACCATTCACACAAGCACTCTCATGCACAACTTCCGGTTGGTACTGGGAGTAAACGTCCAGGTGATCTAAAACATAGTAGCCAGACAAGCACCTTAACACACAAAACCTATAGCTTGTCTAGTTCTTTTTCCTCTTCCAGTTCTACTCGTAAAAGGGGACCCCCTGAAGAGACTGGAAGTGCAGTGTTTGATCATCCAGCCAAGATGGCTAAGAGTACTAAATCCTCTTCCATAAATTTCTCCTTCCCTCCACTTCCTACTATGGCCCAGTTGCCTGGGCATAGCTCAGACACAAGTGGCCTTCCCTTTTCACAGCCCAGCTGTAAAACTCGAGTTCCTCATATGAAACTAGATAAAGGGCCCAGTGGAGCCAATGGTCATAACACAACCCAGACAATAGACTATCAAGATACTGTGAATATGCTTCACTCCTTGCTCAGTGCCCAGGGTGTTCAGCCCACTCAGCCCCCTCCGTTTGAATTTGTTCATTCTTATGGTGAATATCTGAATCCACGGGCTGGTGGAATCTCCTCCAGATCTGGCAATACAGACAAGCCCCGGCCACCACCTCTACCTTCAGAGCCGCCTCCACCACTTCCACCCCTTCCTAAGTAAAAAAGAAAAAGAAGAGAAAAAAACTTCTTTTAAAAAAAGTTTTTTTTTTTTTTTTTTTGACTACTGATTCTGGACTAAGAATTACTTCCCTTATGAAATAAGTCGCCCTTCTTGGACTAGGGAATAAATTGACAATGAGACGTAAGTGGGAGGGTTGTGGAGGGCCTTGGTTATTATATCTGCTGTCTTACACATTTAACTTTTATTACAATTTTACTTTTATTAGAGAGATGGGAATGTGTTGAAGCTGTGAAGGATTAAGAATACTTTTTCTATTCTTGGGCCTCTCCACCTTCCAATTAGGTTGATCGGAGCTGGTATCTTTCCTCTTCTTGCCAGAACTGAAATATGGAGGGTTTGTCTTATCAAAAATTGTGGATCCTTTTGGTGTTTAATATAACAGAAGAGAGGAAGTATTTAAACGTCAAAATCTTTTAAGAGACTTTAAAAAAGTAATTTAAAGAAAGTAAGTTATCTGTTTAGTTTTTTTTATATATAACTGGGGAGGGAATAAGGATTTTGCTGTGTGTATGAGATACATAGCAGTGACTCCTGGGGGGTGGGATTGGAGGGTGGGAATGTGTGCAGGGTGGGTGGGAGGGTAGGTTTTTTGGCTAAGAGTTCTGAAACAGGCTCAGGCCACTTGAAGTGTTGAGACCTTTAAGTGTGTATGTAAGTGTGGGTATGTGCATTTTAAGTGTGTGTGTTTAAAAATCATGTTTTATCTTTCCCTCCCTATCCCTTACCATTTTCACTTCCCTACAGTCTACTAGAGAGACCATGGTTGATCTTGAGAACATAAAAGAAGGAAGAGACATGCATCTGACGTGGCATTTTCCCTGCTCTTTATGTTGTAATTGAGAGTAGCCCTCTAATTTCTAGTTTGGGCAAGTGCTGCCAATGGCTTGACTCTTAAGTTCATTATGAAAACTTCTTTTCTACCCCTCTTTTCATTTTGATGCAAAATGGGTGGGGTTGAGGAAGGAGGGTTGGTGAGCCAGGCTGGCTTCTGCCCTGACTGAATTGGGTGTGTCTTTTTCCCTGTTGGGCTTTTGGAAAGTATTCCAATAAGAGAGGAGTCTCAGGGTCTCTGAAGGGGAGGGAAATGTGCTTGCTATATATATCCTGCCTATGAAAGCCAGACCATATGTGAGAATAGTTCTGGGAGAAGCCATGGAGCTAGAGGATATAAAAACAATGAAATTGTTATTTGGAATTTTTAGGACATTGTATTTTAAATTATATTATGAATGTAAGACTTGCTTTTTAAAATCTGTATATCTGAAGGGAAACAGCTGTATCCTCAAGTTTTTGCTGCCTATGTTACTTGAGAAATTGGAGTTTGTTAACAGTACTAATGCAGTGAGAGCAAGTAAGCCTAGCCAACAGATACTGTTGTGTTTAGATTGTTCATCTTTGGTGGTTTAAGGTTCTAGACAGAAATTCTTGAGATTTCTATGAGCCCTTTAAAAAAAATAGGTTAGAAGTCCTTTTATTACGGGGGCTTGATCATCCCATATGTTAGGAGGGAACGTTTTTGATGAGGAAAGAAATTTTTCAAGGAATCTTGGCTAGAAAAAATTCTAAGCCAAGCTGTCACACTGAAAACCACCTAGCCACAGAGGATTTAATGGGATATTCTTTGGTCGTTGTGGCATTTTTTTTTTGCTGTAGAAGAAATGGTGCAATTTGAATTTCTTGTTCTTAACAGAGCTTCCTTCACGCCAAATAGTCTTTAGGGAGAAGTTGAATTCTTTTCATTGGAAGTTAAGGGGAAAGTGGAGTTGTATGTGTCCTGCTCTTCGCCAGAAACCATTTGGGAAGAAAACTAAGGCAGTTGGAATTAATGATGTACTGTCCTAATATAGAAAGGAATTTATAGGAAGGGGTTAGTGTCTTGCCTCTCCACGTATTTGACCTGTCTATAGAGTGCCTGCCATTACTCAGTAAAACAAGGAGCTCTCTTGACTTATGAACCAGTAATACAACTTGACTTGGAATGTCACTTTGCTTTTAGATAACATTTTCTTCTTTCCCCTTAATATTTTCTGTGTTATGTCACATAATTGGTAGATGTGTGGTTGTGTTTACTTAATTTAGGCTTCCTGTTTACATAAATTTTGTTGGGTAACATCTGTTTTCCTTCCTGACCTTTCCAAGGGGTATATGCCATTTAGATTGCATCTGTATCTTTGTGGGATTGATGATCACTGCTTTGATTCTGAGAAATGTTTTTTCCAGCGTTTAATTATTCTTATGTCACATACTTCTGAGTCACATGCACTCCTCCACTGAGGTGCATATCCACTTGATTTTATAGCAGTTCCCCATAGCAGTACTGGAGTTGAGTTCCTTAGACTGTTGTCAGGAATGAAATAGGAACAAGTTCTCACAAAGGCATAAGAGCTGCTTTATGCTGCGTGGTCTGATCTTTGCACTAGTGGATCATTGCTGGTACAGGTCGGTTTGGAGATCTTTCTATATTAATGCTGCCTGGTACTGTCTTAAGATGCAGTGTCTGCTTTTAGATCTATGCATATGTCATGAACCTCCTTACGGGTTCTATATGAAGCTGCTGTATTGTCTTGGGGTAGCAGATGGGCCTGTCGACTAGCATTCATATCGTCCAAATCCATAAATTCAGTTAAAACCTTACTGAGTTTTAATTGAGTTTGGGCTGTATGGTTTCTGAGCACTTGTGTGTCTTCCCTATTCTCACCTTCAAAGGGTAAGAAGTGGGATTTATACATCCGGAGTTAGCCTAGTAAATAAGGCTTTTGTTTTTTCTTTTAGCTTAGACTGACAAGGATAAGTGAAGGTGGTAAGTAGGCCTGGAGCCTCAAGTTCTGTAAATCTCATTCCTAAACTTTGCTTGACTCTCATGTTAACAAAAACAAATACCTGTGGATTGTTCCTAGGGTTTTAAAATCAGATATCTGTGTTGCTGTTAGAACGCTAGCGAAACATTAATCTAAAGCCAATTTGGTCTTTTAAAGTATGTTATGCTTTTTGGGTATAGAAAATATTTAGATGTTAGTCTAGACTTCTCATTCATCAATCAATGTATTTCCATATTAGAGACCTTTAACTTTTTTCTTCTTTTTTAAAAATGATTTTAGTGTTTTAATTTACTGTATACTATACAGTTCTGTATTATTGGGTTCACCAATGTTGACAGAAAAATTTTAAATCTCCAGTTGCAAACAGCAATGGATTAGGATATAGAAATAAAATCATGGTAACATCACTGCTGGGTTTTCTTAACCTTCTGCTACCTAATTCTTCATATTGAAATGTATACTTCTTATACCTTGCTTCTGGAAAAAGGCAATTAGAGGGGCCTTATCTATCCCAGTATGGTTGGATTTTAAACATCTGTGTTTCCCTTATTTGGGGAATTGATTATTAACATTTTTTTTCTTTTATTGATAAGTTACTTTGATACTCATGCTGGGAAAAGGAAGGTCTCTAGAACATCTCGAAGTGGGAATACAAATATTTTGGATTTGGGAGAATTTAAGCAGTCTATGCAACCCATCAGATGGTGAGAAATAGCCCTCTGCTAATAGCCTCCACTAAATCCTCAGTGACTTTGATACCTCCCCAGATTTTTTGAGTGTCTGTGTAAGTCTTAGCTCTTAACTTAGTGTTTGCTCCTGGTGGTTTAAGAAATATTCATTTTGTACCACACTGTTGAATTTTGTCTTTTTACTCCGTTGTGGATGTGAGTTTGAAATAAGCATGGTACTCTAATCCTACTTGATAGAGTAGTCTGGAATGGAGATTATTTTTTAAGTGGGAGGAGTGTTCCATTTTAATGCTTCTAAAGTTTTTAATATGAACTTGGGATTGGAAAAGGGAGGTAAAGAAAAAGTATGTTTATTAAAAACAAAAGCAGTATCCATCTTCTCTTTTATGAGTGTGTATTAATGGTGAATGAAAAGAGAAAGGCTCTTGGATTTTGTGTTGCCATGTTAAGCATAGAGAGAGATGCTTCACAGCATGCTAATTGAAGCCAGAGCAAGTATGTCCTCCATCAGGTCATCAGGAACTCTTCAGTGGAAACTGAGGAACGAACTGATTAGTTGTTGATCATAATGCAATTATGTGTAAGTGCTGGTTAGCTTAAGCACCCAAAGAAAAGAATGCAGCATTCTGACTTAGTGTTAACTTAGTTTTCTGAGTTTGAAATAGACTTCTTCCCACCCTACTTCACACACTTATAACTATCTGTTTTCTTATCAGACCAAAGAGCAAAAAGGAAAAAAAAAGTAAAACACTTTACCAATCTATGTCACTCAGGTACAATTTTGTGGTAAGATTTTTGTCTGTTCTCTTTGTATTGCTCTGAAGAGTCCTTTCTCAGCATACTGTTCTGCTGTTGCCTCTGTCATCCTTGGGGCACCTCAATTGTGGATGCTACCCTTGGGATCTCTGCTGTTCTGTGAATGATAGGATGTAAGTGACCATTATAGTAAGGGCTCTTTGTAAAAAATTCAAAAAATTTTTAAAAAAGGATGTTGTATACATTTTATAGTCTGGCTATCAGTTTGATATTTTGCTGTCAGGTATGTGTCTCAATCTGTATTTATCCATCCCATCAATAAATGTTAATGATAAAACACCTGATTATTTATGTGTGCTGAGTCTTCACATTAGTCTTCAGTCTTTATCATTTTATTGATATAATTTTGTTTCAATTTTGATATTAGTATATTCTTGGGTAAGAGCCTGTGGGAATTGAGTCCTTCTGGAAAGGCCTAAAGATTTGGCCATCATACTGAACATGGTGATGCTACGTATAAATTACTATGTTGTCAAAGGGGAAAAAACGACTTGATTCTTTGAAAAACTTGAAATGTTGATATAGACACAGCAAGGAATATATTTGAAAGGAAATATGTTTTGAAGTAAAAAATTAACATTCTTGATAGTGCCTAGGAAAATTGATAGTGAATACTTAATTCTTGTCCTGGGACTACACTCACAAGATAAGTCGTATAAATTACACACTCAAAGGGAAAGAACTTTTCTTTTTGGAGACACAGTCTCATTGTTTTGTTGCTGTCAGTAGAGTGCTGTGGCTTCACAGCTCATAGTAACCTCAAACTTTGGGGCTCATGGCTCAAGAAATCCTCTTTATTTTATTTATTTATTTTTTTCAGTTTTTTGGCCCGGGGCTGGGTTTGAACCCACCACCTCTGGCATATGGGGCCGGCACCCTACCCCTTTGAGCCACAGGTGCCGCCCTCAAGAGATCTTCTTGTGGCTTGGCGCCCATAGCTTAGTTGTTAGGGTGCCGGCTACCTACATGGAGGGTGGTGGATTTGAACCCAGCCCAGGCCTGCTAAAGAACAGGCAACAAAAAAATAGAGATCCTCTTGCCTCAGCCTCCCAAGTAGTTGGGACTACAGGTGCCTGCCACAACGCCAGGCTATTTTTTAGATAGCCTGGGGTCTTGCTGGCTCAGGCTGGTCTCTGAACTCATGAGCTCAGGTAATCCACCCGCCTTGGCCTCCCAGAGTGCTAGAATTATAGGCATGAGCCACAGCGCCCAGCCAAAGGGAAAGAACTTTTATGTTGAAATATTCCAAATTTACAATACAAAGTTAGCAGTAGCTATAGTTTAAGAGCTTTAAAAGGAGGCTTGGCGCCAACCACACAGAACTGAGCTGGTGGGTTCAAATCCAGCCTGGGCCTGCCAAACAACGACTGTTGTAGCCAAAAAATAGCCGGACGTTGTGGCAGGCACCTGTAGTCCCAGCTACTTGGCAGGCAGAGACAAGAGACTCGCTTGAGCCCAGGAGTTAGAGGTTGCTGTGAGCTGTGATGCCACAGCACTCTACCCAGGGTGACAGCTTGAGGCGCTCTCTCAAAAAAAAAAAAAAAAAAGAAAATAGATTATAGGCGTCAAAGGCAAGGAGCCTCAACATTTTGGTGATAGCTGAGGGTGGCCTGAATTGGCTGGAAGTGCTCAAGGCAATGAGAAGTGCTGTATCTTGAAAATGGAGCCAATAGGATATTCTATAATGGAAGAGAAAGAAATCAAGGATGATTTCTAGTGTTTGGCGTGACTGCCTGTAAGGATGGAGTTACATACTGATGTGGAGATGACTACAGGAGGAGCAAGAGTTGGCTTTAACATTAAATTTGAAACACCAGAAGTCCAAATGGAGATGTCTACTGGACAGATAGTTATATAGTTGAGTTCAAAGGAGGGGTTCAGACTGGAGATACTCATATAGGAGTCATGAGCTTATAAATGGAATGAGATAGAATGAGACTACCAAGGGCTTGACGCCACCCACATACACCAAGGGTGGCAAGTTCGAACTTGGCCCAGGCCAGCTAAACAATGACAGCAACAAAAAATAGCTGGGTGTTGTGGCAGGTACCCATAGTCCCAGCTACTTGGGAGGCTGAGGCAAGAGAATCTCTTAAGCCCAGAGTTTGAGGTTGCTGTGAGCTGTGATGCAACAGCACCCTATCAAGGGCGACATGGTGAGACTGTGTCTCAAAAAAAAAAAAAAAGGGTGGTGCCTGTGGCTCAGTGGGTAGGGCGTCAGTCCCATATACCGAGGGTGGTGGGTTCAAACCTGGCCCTGGCCGAACTGCAAAAAATAGCTGGGCATTGTGGTGGGTGCTGCTGTGACTCCACGGCACTCTTAAACGAGGGCAATAAAGTGAGACCTTGTCTCTAAAGAAAGAAAGAAAAAAAAAGAATGAGACTATCAAGGGAATGTTAGCAGAAAAGAAAGGTGATCAAGCACTCAGAGTTTCAGGAAAAGAGACCAAGAATGGGTGGGTGTGAGGTAGGAAGACAACTAGGAAAAGTATGGAGAAGTGCTTCTGAATAGTAATTTTTTGTCTGTCTTGGACTTACATTTTTTTCCCAACTAAGACTTTTGGCAGACCCTCTCATAGAGAAAATCTTGTTGCATCTCTATTCCTGCAACTCTTCCATTGTTCATTAGAGTAGTTTTAATTTATTATTATTTTTTGAGACAGAGTTTCACCATGTCGCCCTTGGTAGAGTGCTGTGGCCTCACAGCTCACAGCTCACAGCAACCTCCAACTCTTGGGCTTAAGCGATTCTCTTGTCTCAGCCTCCTGAGTAGCCGGGACTACAGGCGCCTGCCACAATGCCCAGCTAGTTTTTGTTACAGTTGTCATTGTTTTTAGCTGGCCCAGGTTGAGTTGGACCCTGCCACC